CCTGCTGGGTATGGGCGAAGTTATCTTTATCCTGAAAGAAAAATTTTAGGTTAATTGTCAAATTCTAGGAAAGGTAACTATATCCTTCATTATTATCCAGTCCATGTATAATGCCAAAGTTCAGGGTTTATCTCAAGTCCTTATTCAAGTAGTCTGTGAGACTGGATCATCTCAGCTAGTCATCTCAAAATTGCTCTGACCCCAGGGCAACTTTATTTATTAACATAAAATTAAAATCACATTTCAGTACAAATAAAATATCACCATACCTTCCTTCCTTTTTCTTTCTTTCTTGCTAATGTGTCATGGTGCCTGCCTATAATTTCAGCACTTGGAAAACTGAGGCAGGAGGATCACTGTGAGTTCAAGGCCAGTTTGGATTTCATAGTGAGTTCATTGCTAATCTGGATTAAAGACTCTGTCTCAAAATCTTAGGTGGCCAAAGATCTGTAACTAGCAGTGGTTAGTTGTGTCTTTGTTTTGCTAAAAGAGTTTGTTTTCTAGCTGCAAGTGCCTTTCGAGGCTGATCTCATCATAGCTGATCATGAACACTGTGTGCAAACATTAGCCTGCTACTGTGTGTTCCCTAAACACTTCCAAGAAGAGATTTATTTGGACACTGGTATGAGAGTTAGATGTGAATTTTCAGCTATCACCTTAGCAACTACCTTTCTGCTCTTACTATGTAGACAGTGTGGGCAGTATAAAAACAAATATCTAGCATATATCTATGATAGGGGAGGGTTGTAAGGGAGCCAATGCTACAGTGGAGGACAGAACATGACACAGGTTTCACTATAGGACAAAGGATGGGATATAGAATGACCATCTCTAGAGAACAGTTGGAGAAGGAAAGAGGCCAGCTACTCCAGCCTACTCCATAGAAGTAGTTACAGCTAAAAAAGAATTTCATCACTATAAGAGTACTAGAGAACCCTGAAAACTGACTGAAATCCAGGGGTGCATTCTTTATGAATGACTATAGCTCTACTCCCCTGTATCTGGACCTTATGGCCTGATGTTTATGTAGCCTTCATATTTTCTTCTCTGTTTGCTTTTCCCCTCCTCAGTTAAGTAGAAAAGAAACCCAGCCTTTGCTTCATGTTAAAATGTTCAGTGAAATACTGTGAAATAGGAACACAATGGAAAAGAGAATTCTTATTTTTTTTTAAATATAAAGGAAGAAATTGCTGAACTCTGTACAAATTCAAGGAGAAATTGTATCTTGCAAATATTTGGATTTATTGGTCCTAAATCATCAATGATACTGATTTTTTACTTCCTTACTTGGCATACACAGCTGTTGTGTCTTTAATCCTTGAGTTGCCATCTAAACTGTGCATACAGGATCAGTAACCGATCCCATTCCCTTTCTCAGGCAGGCCAGTAGGTGTAGTGTTACCTCTTTGTTACTGACCAGCTTAGACAACACTTCACAACACAGGTGTTCAAGAAACAGAATGGACATGGTGATCCACCACAGAACAGCCAAGGGAAGGATTGTGGCAGCGTACCAAAGCGTGGGTGAGATGAAGGCCACCAAACACTCTTCAAAGTACTGTTGATCCGATTCTTTACAAAGAGTGAGATCAATTCATTTCCCAATTCACTGCAGAGTTTGAGACTATAGGGGGATAAGTTAATATCCATTTTACTGTTTGTGATTTCCTTACTCTTAGAGCTCAAAGTAGGGAGATTTTAATATTTCAGCATAACTTTAAAGGTTGTAGAAGAATCCTAAGCCATGCCTTTTCCTGATTTATAAAATAGTTTAAAAGACAAAATAGTCAGAAGTTCTTAACTTACAAGTTTTAATTTACATTCCCTGACAGTGATGGGTACCTGAATAAAAAAGACATGGCATTGTATTTCTTCTGACATTTTATCGTTCCAGTGTGATCGCTGCCTGCCTCTTTATAATGACAAGCCTTTCCACAGTGGTGATAGTGTTCATGCATTCAACTGTAAGCCTTGTCTGTGCAACAGCCATGCCAGAAGCTGCCATTATGATGCTTCTGTGGACCCATTTCCTCTGGAGCACAACAGAGGCAGTGGAGGAGTCTGTGACAACTGCCAGCATCACACAACAGGTAATCCTGAATCCAGAACGTCTGGCTCAGCCTGTGGGGCCATGGGTGCCTGTCTCTGGATGCATGATATTTTAAATTATGACACAGTTATCCTATTTGGGAATGAGCTTTCACACTGTTAAGTTTAAAGACAAAAGCTGTTTCATCAAACTTTCTCCATTCAGAAACAGTCCTTCATTGTACGTTTGCAGGAGAGTGTTCCTCCGAAAAGGTTCACACCATTGACTGAACTACTGATTTTGATACTTAGCCTAGTTAAGTTTGAATACATCTTCATAGTAAGTCACTTGTGTGACTTACATTCCTGTCTTCCTTGTATCTGGTTTCACACATGGGCATGTTACATTTACTCAGACTTTACACAGAAACCAATAATCTTTTTAAGATAAAAATATATGGACCAACAAGATGTCTCATAGGAAAAGGAGCTCACTAGAGAGCCTTAACTTCTGAGCTGGGTCTTCCAACCTACATGGTGGAAGGAGAGGAATGGGTCCTACAGCCTGTCCTTTGAGGCATATAATGGTGCACACATGTCCCTCTCCCTCTCTCTCTTTCTCTCTCTCTGTCTCTCTGTCTCTCTCTCTCTGTCTCTCTCTCTCTCACACACACACACACACACTCACACACTCACACACACTGAAAAAAAATAGGTTATAAATACAGAAGGTGATTAATATTCTCTGTAGGTTCTATTATATAAAGGTTTCTAGCAATTATTAAAATCACTGTGTTCTGAAAAGCAGTATTAATTAATTAATTAATTAAATGCAGAAGCAGGTGGCATCAGTGTTTGTGAAATATAATACAAATATAATGGACTAAGAAGTTAGGTTCTTATCCATAAAATGGCAAGAGGAAAGTCTGCTTAATAAACTGAAATCTATAGGAACTATATTGCACACTGAATATATAAGGCTCTTCTAATATTTAATACAAGATTTATCTGGAATGTATAAATATAGTTAATTTCCTTATTCTGATACTTGAAGTAAAAAATAACTAACAGAAGCATTAAAAATTGTTAACTGCATAACAATCCATCATATTAAGAGCATTCTCCATTTTTCATAGTTTACTTCTGAAAAATGCATCTTTATAATTTTTGGGTACATCTGTGTAACCACATGTATATGTGCGTTGACCATGTGTATACATGTGGAGGCCAGGTTACCATCAACTGTCTTCTTCAGTCACCCTCTACCTTATCTCTCTCTGCCTGGAACTCATTCATTTGGCTGGCCTGGCTGGTCAGTGAGCCCCAGGGACCCATCTGTCACTGGGTAATTGGCTTGTGCCGCCCCATGTGCCGGGCTGTTTTGTTTGTACCAGATTCAAGTCCTCTTGCATGTACAGCAAGGGCCTTAGGACTACGTTACCTCCATGACTCTCTACAAACTTTTGTAATACAGCATTCCCACTTCCTTCCACTGATGTAGATGTTATCATCACATGTATAGCAATTGCTTACATTTTGCTTTAGAAATAAGTACCTGGCCATAGGAATGCAATTGTAAGTTTAGAAATGGATTCTTTTAAAATGTATGCTCCCTTATAAAGCAAAACTTCCCAGAAGTGTGGTATGGTATAACAGATGGGCGTTTAATGGGGTAAAGCACCATTTGGAACAGGTTCACCATTTCATATGCTCCGGATCACTAAATTGGCAGGTAGAGATGAAAGGTGCATTAAAATGGACATCCCGAAAATTATAGGATTTCCTCAAAGGAATACCGTCTTTAATCTTGAATTATGCAGCCGATTGTAATGAATTATGAGTCATAATGGATAACCTATCCCGACACAGGGAGAAACTGTGAGTCATGCCAGGATTACTTTTACCGACCTGTTGGTGCAGATCCTTCTGCTCTCGATGTCTGCAAGCCTTGTGACTGTCACCCTGCAGGGACTAGAAATGGCAGCCTCCTCTGTGACCCGGTGAGTTACTTCAGCCACGGGAGGTAACGGATGGCTCTCCTGCCAGAGATGAGTTCAGACAGTCTCCCAGGGTCTTCAGTTCTCTATTTTCCGCGAAGTTCTGAGTTGCCATTTAAGAGATGGCCAAGGTAGATAGGACCTTGAGTAGTGTCCATTGTGAGTGTGCACTGGGTGCTATGTAGTGGTCCCTTTGTAGAAAAGAATGACTCATTTTTATTTTAATTTTGAAAATGTCAAAAAGAATTGGAGAATGGGAATTCTATTCAAACTTCAAAGTAGTGAAACCTTTTTTAAATAATTTATAAATAAGATACTTTAATCCCAAAGACAATAGAAGATAGTATTGCAAAAGCCAATTGCATGAAGACCCAAATGGAAGTCATGGTGTTTCTCCACTTCTAAATGTCGCATTTCTACCTGTCTAATAGTTTAAAATACAATATTTTGTTTGTATTCTTAAAATACATTTATTATCTATGTCCCATATTTTGATGTGTGACTTACATGAAAGCAGATCTTCAATCAATGGGTTTTCTAAGTGAGATCCAGGACAGGCACCAAAACTACAGAGAGAAACCCTGTCTCCAAAACAAACAAACAAATAAAAGCAATAAATATTTTGTGTATGATTATTTAAGTGGACCAAAATAATTTTATTTTGGAGAGACAACTTACTCTTACCAATAAAATTTGTATTCCAACTTAGTTAACTAAAGACATGCTGAGCAGACTGTCTCCTCTGTAAGTTGGGAATAGCTTTTCTCACTTTTACTAAAACACAACAAAAAATGATTACTAAATTCAAATGAGCAAATTTTCCTAAGAGTATATTTTGAAAGACTTCGTGTGTGTGTGTGTGTGTGTGTGTGTGTGTGTGTGTGTGTGTGTGTGTGTTTACAGGACTATGTGTGTATGCCACTCACATGGCTGCATGTGTATGTGTATGCGTGTAGGACAGAGATCAGAGGTCAACCATAGATGCCACTTGTCAGTCTCCATCACTGAGTTATATTTTTGAAACAGGGTCTCTCTATAGTCCGGAAGTCCTCAGTTGAACTAGGCGGGCCAGCAATCCAGCCCAGGCACACTCCTGTCCCTGTCGGCTCAGGGTTGAGATTAGAAGCGTGCATCACTCCACCCAGCCATCTCCAGATGGAACCTGGCGCTTGGAAGAAGAAGCACTTGGTCAGTCACCTGAGCCATCTCTCCAGTCTCCAGAATTTTAAAAAAGAATTGCTAAAATCGGTGTCTTTCTGATTTAAATTTAAATTTAGATTTAAATATTTAAATAGATTTAGTATTTAAATTTAGACTCTTATTCCAGTGTGGGGTCCTTTCCCTAAGGATCAGCAGTAATGGGGTATCCAAGTAAGAGGTTCCCTTGCCAGCCTGAGTCTGGGAATTAGCTGACTTATGGCAGTAACTAAGTAACGATCCAGTACTTGAAGTAACCAATGCCAAGTGATAGCTTCCACATGACTCAGCCATGGAGCTTTGAGAATGAAGACTCCTGAGCTCCACATTCTAATTGTTCAGCTCTGGAATATTTAATTGTGTATAATTACAGGACCAACTTGAAAAAACAAGTGCATGACAGATGTAGATACATGTGTTTATTTTTCTATGTTTAAAATGTCCTGCATGCTTGAAAAATATTTTCATGATCATGGACATAAAACAGCCATTTCAACCCATACAATTTAGATAAATATTCTCTAATGAGCATTCTAGGAGCCATAGCTAATTCCTTTCCAACACTCAGTAGAAATTGTGAGTTCTGGGAAAGAAAAATACTCAACTTCATATGGAAAAACAAAAGACCCAGGATAGCTAAAAGAATCCTATACGATAAAGCAACCTTTGGAGGCATCACCATCCCTGACCTCAAACTCTACTATAGAGCTATAGTAATAAAAACAGCTTGGTACTGGTATAAAAACTGACATACGGACCAATGGAATCAAATTGAAGACCCTGACATTAATCCATGCACATATGAAC